TTTAACTCCATTTTGCACTTAATAAAAGGTTTGCGAAAATGAAAATCAGTGAGCTAAATAGATGTAAAATTTTATGCTAAACAACTTTACTTAGAAGACGAAAGCAGGGTACATAAGTGAAAAAAAAGTTATATATAGAAAAACTGGAATTTTTTACTTTAGTACATAGCTAACTCATTTTCTATCAAGGTATCCTACTTTCATCTTCTAGGTAACGTTGTTCAGAGTATGTTTTTACATATATTTATTATTTTAAAATTTGCAAATATTTGATTTTGGAATAGTAGATTTTCATTTTGTACAAAATTAGCAAAATTTTAATTTAATTTTTAAACTCAATTTTTTTTTCTCCTCTTGTTCTATATTCTCAAAAAATTTAATTTAAAGTTAATAAGTTAGATTTATAAATATCTTAGCTCAAAGTTATATAGTAAATTTATGTTTTTTTGAAAATTTTACTTATAGATAGCATTTTGACCTATCTTAAGGGGACATGTCCTGGATCTGATATACACTGAACAATTCAAAAATGTCCAGTATCTAGTAAAAAAGCACTGGATATATATATTGCCCAACCCTGGTGTGCCTTACTTTATTCAATTGGAGATGGTATATCATCAGAACTGGGGGGATTAGGGGCTTCCATTTATTCGAAATTTGTTTGGTAAACTTTTATTACCTAGCTTCATACTATATCATAAAATGTTCATGAAATCTAAGTTTACCAATAAAAAGCATTTTATTTCGTGTGTTCCTGGTTCTTGGAAGGTTTTTCACTTAATTCAAATTCTTTATGTCGTTTATCATCTTTTAAATTGGTGTAAAATTTGATTCAATATTTTCAATCATTTTTTTTTGTTGTGGAAGGTTATAAGACTTTTCAAGAAGGTCAAGTACCTATATCAGAATAGTATTGATATCAAATTTAGATATTTCATTTATTGTGCTGCATAATTCAATTTGATAAAAACAATAAATAGGTGATATTTCATAAAGAATTTTTTGTATTAATCTATAATATCCTGAGTTTACATGTGGTGTGAAACACATAAAAAAATTATTTTACAATACTTGATCATACTTGATCAGTCCGCTAGTACATGTAATGATTATAATCCATCCCATTCTATTATAATAAAAATAGTAATCATAACATGACTAGCGGCTGATCAAATATCCAATTCGCTTTCTTCACTTAATTTGTCATCTTCTACACTATTATTATCATTATTTTCAAGAGCAGTTGAAGTAATCGTCATAGGAAGTTGTCCATTATCAGGTCATATTATAAGTGGCATTATGAATAAATTTTCAAAGGTTATTATAATTGCATTAAGTTCTTGCACTATCTTCTTCTATATTAATCATAAATTTTTTATAAACTATATCTTCGATATCTTCAGGTTCTATAGCACTTTCTATAAATAAGGTTCACATTCTGCACTTGAAGTTTCCGGTTTTGCCTTTATTTATACAAGTTAAGCATTCGATACATATTTAATTAGTTTTATTATTCAACAGGACAAACATTTTTTTGAATTCGATTGAGTTGATAATCGGATTCAATTAATTAGATTTATGAAATATTTGGTAAGAAAAAAAACTTTTAAACGACACTTGTTATTAAGTTACAATATAAACATTACACGACTGATCCTTCACCCGGTGTGTACGTATGTATGTACGTACTGGTGGAATTTTTTTATATGTTACACACTGGGTGAAGGATCAGTCGTGTAATATCGACGGTTCCTCCTATTTAATATTAATATTAATCGAGTAATTAATTTCATATAAACCAGTGTTTATGTGTATCTGTCTATCCATCTTTGACTAACTCTGAAAGAGATTTGGATAAACAGGAAAATAAGAAATAGTTATTATTAGACATGTACACTAATGGGGTTTACTTGTATTATGACATAAAAATCAAAAAACCAAATTAAACACAATTAACCAATGTCAACTTGTAAATAACTATCATAAGTTAAATAGCTGATAACCGAGTAGTTTGATATAATTATCTGAAATCAATTTTATCCAAATAATCAGATTACTCCATCATTCAGATATATTGGTTCCACTTTTAGTGTGTAATGCAGCGTAAACAAAATGCAGAAAGCTTTGTAAACCCATTTGAAATAGTATATTTGTGTAACAATCATGTTTCATATGAATCCTCATCAGCTACTAAAATGATTTCCATCGAACAACTTTGTAAATTATCAATTTAATTGAAAATAGAAGAAAGAGATGATATCTTCATCTCAAGTTCATCTTTAAATAATGACAGTATTTTTAGAAAAGGCATAAAAGAATTAGAATCTACCTATATTAATCAAGCCAAAGAGTTTATAAAAGATTTTAGCGAATTGGATAATTTAGTCAGATTTAAGCAGTTAGTTGAAAACTTTGAAATAGAATTGCCAGAAGATATATTAATTAAAGCAGTTAAATTACTTAGTGATGCATTATCATTTGAATATCACTCAGAAAACACTATGATACGTCTTGAAGTACATCTTCAAACGTGGATAGCAACCTTAGAAAGAGTGTACTATTCTCCTGTTGTTCTAGGTTATGAAATTCATAAACACCTTTATAAAAATTTAAGCGACTTTGTTGATTTTCATCATAGGATGATAAATGCTTTTAAGCAAGGTGTTAGCAAAAGTTTTAAGCAAAAGGGAAAATCCAAAGAAATACCAAATAATGAAATTTATATGTATTTTCAAAATTATAATATTAATTTTTTATTAATTCACTTATGTAATACTTTGCATAGCATGCGTATGATGAAACACAATTTTACGACATTTTCTTTTGGCATTTATTCGCATTTCACCTAAAGCTGCTGGAGCAGCGTCAGAAAATATTTCAGAAGCACTTGGCATTGCCGAAATTTTGCCAAACATTGCTCAAGTCTTTAAATTCAAATATCCTCTTACTTATTGGTATTCAACGTGGCGAGAGCTTTTATCAATTCATTATTTGCTAGAGAATTTAACCAAAGATGAGGATTATAGTAAATTACGATTCTATAATGAAACTTATCTTCTCGAATTACTGTGCCAATGCATTTTTGATTTAAGTATTAATCAAAAAGTCCAAAATGAGATTTTAAATAGCCAAAATGAGACTTTTGAATTTATGAATTTATGGACAAAGAAAGAACCAACTGCACCAACAAATTCTTTGTGGTTTGGAATTTTAGATCTTGTTCAACGCTTAAGCCAACAAACAACTCAAGTCACTAGTTTAGCTCTTTGCTATTATTTAGGCTTAGAATCATTACAAAATTCTAAATGCAATTATATTTGCTTTAAATCTTTAGAATTACTTTTATCACTATCTTATCAAAATCCAGAATTATTTAATAAAATAGTAAAAGAAGATATCAATGAATATAAAGAATCATTGTCAGCATATTCCCAACAAATTCTAGAAAAAATTATTCATGATGTAGATCAAAAGCTTCAATTAAATCTCAAATTTATGAATCAATTAAGTATGATAAGTATTAAAGAGAATTCAGAAATCAAAGGTGATAGAAAATTAATATTAAACATAATTGCAGATGAACTTATTTGTCCGATTACTAAGCAAATAACTGGGGATTTCTCAATTTTAACGTGTGGACATTCTATTAGCTGTTACTCTATTAATAAATGGAAAGAAACAGTAACAATTGAAAGTAGATTGTTTGAATGCCCGTATTGTAAAAAAGAAATTGATTTAAATTCAACTTATAACCTTCAAAAAAATAAAATATTAGAAAGTCTTTATGTAAAATTGAAGCAAGCAGGTTATTATTTCAAGAACGACAAATATCGCGAAATACAATTTATATGGTAGAAGATGATCTATTTTTAAAATTTAACAAGCATAAAATGTTTCAAAGTTCCATGCTTTCAAAACTTTCCACACCAATTTTTAAAAAGGTTCAACCAAAAGTTATGCTACCGGCTTTTAACAAGGTTGCTAAAGCAGAACAACAAAATGATTATGATGCAGTTATTATGTAGTTAACTCAAGTTTTACAATTATACCCAAAAAGTTATTCAATTCGATGTAGAAGAGCGTTTGTATCCTATAAACTTAAAATGTATTCAAAGGCTAAAGATGATTTAGATATAGCAATCCAATTAAAGCCCTTAAAATCATTGGTCTATATTTATAGAAGCTTCATATTTCATGATGTGTATAGATATGAAGAATCACTTGTAGATTTAAATAAGTCGTTAGAGATTTAACCAAATAATGCATATATATTAAGAAGTCGTGGAGTAATTTATAATTTGTTGAATAGATATGAAGAATCACTTACAGATTTAAATAAATCATTGACGATTGAACTTAAAAGTGCAAATGCATTAAGAAGTTGTAGAGAAATTTATCGTATATTAAAAAGGTATAAAGAATCACTTGTAGATTTAAATAAATCGTTAGAGATTGAACCAAATAATGCATTTGTGTTAAATAGTTGTGGAGAAACTTATCGTAGATTAAAAAGATATGAGGAATCACTTACAGATTTGAATAAATCGTTAGAGATTGAACCAAATAATGCATTTGCGTTAAAAAATCATGAAGAAACTTATCAAATATTAGAAAGATATAAAGAATCACTTACAGATTTAAATAAATCATTGACAATTGAACCTAAAAGTGCAAGTGCATTAAGAAGTCGTGGAGAAATTTATAGTATATTAAAAAGGTATAAAGAATCGCTTGTAGATTTAAATAAATCGTTAGAGATTAAACCAAAATAATGTATTTGCGTTAAGCAGTCGTGGAGAAACTTATCGTAGATTAGAAAAATATGAAGAATCACTTACAGATTTGAATAAATTGTTAGAGATTAAACCAAATAATTCATTTGCGTTAAAAAATCGCAGAGAAACTTATCGAATGTTAAAAAGATATGAGGAGTTATTTACAGATTTAAATAAGTAGTTAGAGATTGAACCAAATAATGCATTTGCATTAAAAAATCATGGAGAAATTTATCGTATACTAAAAAAATATATAAATTCGCTTTCAAATTTGAATAAATCGTTAGAGATTGAACCAAATAATGCATTTGCATTAAGAAATTGTGGAGAAATTTATCGTCTATTGACAAGATATGAAGAATCACTTGCAGATTTAAATAAGTCATTAGAGATTGAACCAAATAATGCATATGTGTTAAGTAGTTGTGGAGAAACTTATCGTAGATTAGAAAGATATAAATAATCGCTTACGGATTTGAATAAATCGTTAGAGATTAAACCAAATAATGCATTTACATTAAGTAGTCGTGAAGATACTTAATGTATGATTAATAGGTATGAAGAATCATTTGCAGATTTGAATAAATCATTAGAAATTGAGCCAAACAATCCATTGGCATTAAGCATTCGTGGTGTAACTTATTGCACGGTATGCAGATATGAAGAATCATTTGAAGATTTAAATAAATCGTTAGAGATTGAACCAAATAATACATTTGCGTTAGAAAACCGTGGAGAAACTTATCGTATGTTAAAAAGATATAAAGAATCACTTATAGATTTAAATAAATCATTGATGATTGAGCCTAAAAATGCAAGTACATTAAGAAGTTGTGGAGAAATTTATTATATATTAGGCAAATATGAAAAATCACTTGCAAATTTGAATGAATCATTAATGATTGAGCCTAAAAATGCAAATACATTAAGAAGTCGTGGAGAAATTTATCTTATATTAAAAAGGTATAAAGAATCGCTTGTAGATTTGAATAAATCGTTAGAGATTGAACCAAATAATGCATTTGCGTTAAGAAGTCGTAGAGAAACTTATCGTATGTTAAAAAGATATGAAGAATCATTTGCAGATTTAAATAAATCATTAGAGATCGAACCAAATAATGTATTTGCATTAAGTAATCGTGAAGCAATTTACCGTAAGTTAGAAAGATATAAAGAACTTGCAGATTTGAATAAAACATTAGAGGTTGAACCAAATAATGCATTTGCATTAAATAATTGTTGTGAAATTTACTATGTGTTAGAAAGGTATGAAGAATCACTTGCAGATTTGAATAAATCATTAGAGATTAAACCAAATAATGCATTTGCGTTAAGCAATCGTGGAGAAATTTACTATATATTAGAAAAGTATGAAGAATCACTTGCAAATTTGGATAAATCGTTAAAGATTAAACCAAATGATGCATTAACACTAAGACATCGTGGAGAAACTTATCAAGTAAGGAGTAGATATGAAGAATCGCTTTCAGATTTAAATAAATCGTTGAAAATTGAACTAGATGATGCTTGGACATTAAAAAGCTGCGGAGCAGCTTATTATATGGGCTAGGTGCAATAGAAAGGGCAGAAATTGACATTTAGTAAATCACGAGATAAACACTAATTTGTGTTTTGAACACAACAGAGATCGACATGTATCTGATCTGATTTGGAAATCAGAAAATTATACCGTGTAACTGGAATCTATATGAAAATTTCCGATAAGTGCTCAATACAAATTTATAAAAGTTTTTGCCTTCATAAATCTAACTTTTTATTTTACCGTGTCTTCTTTAGTATTTTAATTTATGAACGTAAAATACAATTATATTCATGTAGCCAGTTTGGCAAAACCAGTAAAATATAAATATGACTATGTCGTCCTTACTGGGAGGTTGTAAAAAAAAATAAAAAAAAATAGTAAATTTGATCTATCTAACGCCACTAACCTCAACACTATAGAATTTTGTACTATATGCAAAAGTAGAAAACTTATCTATCTAATGTTCATAAACCTCAATGTCATAGAACCAAGATAAGCACGATTATAGACCGAATTTAAATAGTAATTGACATGTTGAATTTAAAAGAGTCCATACATACCCGATCGAACTGAAGAAAATCAAGATACTGACCCAACAACAGATCTTAATATCACAGAATCAAGATAAACATGATGTACTATACAGCGCTGCATACAGTACCTCCGTCTTTTACAGGTTGATTAAATAATGCTCTGGGTGTACTGTGTGAATAGAGGGATACTGTACGAGGGTTTATCAAAGAGAGTATTAACCATAAAAGTTTATTATATAACAGAATCATTGATTCAGACTACTTGATTAGTGCTGGGATACTTTTCAAAATGTTAGAATCTACAGTTGAAATAGTACCCTGATACTATTTAAAGGAGATTACTTATTCAAGGAATACCAGTACTGCATGCAACGCTAGATAGTAATACTAAATTTGTAAAATTAATCTCAATATTTATGTACTGGAAAAAATAAAGCTACTGTCTAACGTTCACAAATTTAGTGCGATAGAGTAAAGTATGATTATGGCAGTTTCAAATGTTAAGAATATTAAATTAGGGTGTTCTCAAGCACCTTAATCAACCTGTCAGAACAGGTCTGAGGGTAAAATTTTATTAGTAAAAAATAGTTTAATGAATCAATTGTATTAATTATTCCAATGAATAAAACACACATTGAAAGTTTAATACATCAGAAAGAAAAATTTCATTAGCAAAGTTCTTTTAACTGATCAAGAGTATTTATCATTCCAATCAATAAGAGATAGAGGCCCAGACGTCCTTTTTTTTATCACAGAGTTGTGTTTATTAACTGAATTTTCCATTGATTGATTAGAAAAAATAATTGTTCGAGTACTTCATTCTTTTTACATTATCATTATGGATTTTCAGAATCACTATTAACATCGACTAATTATTACCGTATTACTTATACTAAAAATATTCGCCGCAGATATAAAAAGCACGTTTTTGTGTTCTGTAGGTTCATAGTAAATTCTGAAAAATCGAAACAGAATTTGGAAGTGTTATAAATGTGAAGATATAATAAACATTAGAATTTCAGAATAAAATAGGTTTCAATTTAATACAGTAATACAAGTTAAACTCGTTATAATGAAGCAATCCGTCTTATTTTAAAAAATTCACTATATCAAGAGTTCTATTAATAAATTCACTATAACAAGTAGAACTCCACAAAATCAAATCAAACTTTGAATTTGAATCAAATATTTGAAATTATTTGATCAAATTTCTTAAAAATTTGGTCAAAT